GCAACGGCTGGAGGACGTGCAAAATGGCTTGGAGAGAAAAGGGTTCCCCGGATGTGTAGGCGCGATAGATTGCACGCATTTGTATGTTGACAAGCCGAAAGGAGTGTGATCGGAGTGCTACTACCTCCACACTAGGGGGTTCTCGGTTGTGGCGCAAATCGTTTGCGACCACGAGTGTCGGATTTGCAGTGTTTATGTGGGTTGTCCGGGGTCTGTGCATGATTCAAGAGCTTTGCGCATGTCACCATTGTTCATAAATGCTACGGAGGGTAGAGGAGTGTTGGCTGAGGGAGGTGCCATGTTACACGATGGTAGACATGTTGGCCATTATCTGCTGGGTGATCAAAGGTACCCTCTTCTTCCATGGCTCATGACTCATTTTGGCCGTTTTGCTCGAACGTCGGCGGATCCAGCGTTCGATTTGAGCCACAGTGCAGCAAGGTCGTGCATTGAACAGGCTTTCGGACGTCTGAAGGCGGTTTGGAGGAACTTTGTCCGAAGACATATTTGCAACCTGAAGACAGTCTGCAAAGAATTCATGGCCATCTGCATTCTTCACAACCTGATGATCGAGCACAACGTGCAGATCGACCCGGCGCTGATGGAAGATAGCAGTGACAGCGATGGAGACAACGACGAACGTCGGAACTGTCGACGACGCCGGCGGCGCCGTCCATTCAACCGCCACCTCCCGGACTTGAACATCGAGGCGCCGGCAGAGGATGACCCCACTTATGGGGGGGAACTCGCAGAACACGTCAGGGCCAGCCTGGTGGAGCATGTGCGCCACCACGTGGCAGTCCACGGGGCTCCGGCACCATGCCTATGGTGGTAGTGCTCTTCTTTTATTTTTTGCGCGGTTATGTGTCACAACCCATTTTAGGACGTCCGAGGTCTTCGAGGAGACTTTGAGGCAGATGAGGGTTAGTCGAAGGACGGGGATACGGGCATAGAAGTTTAGTGTGGTATTGTCCGAGTCGGTCATCAATACATCCTGTTGGATTTATCAAACGGTCATGTTTCGTCATATCGAGCCGACAGACGGGTTCAGACGATGTGTTTTTTTTACCTTTCCGGAATTTTTTTTCGTTCGTGTACTTCGAAAAAGTTGAAATGAAGTTTTGTTTTCCTCGTTGTCGGAGATTGCACAGTCATGTGTTTTTGTATTTCGTCGCTCTCCTGTTTCTCGCTATATGGAGCACCTTGTGGCAAACATTTTTACAACCTTAATTCCCTACCGGAACATGTTCATGTCCAACGACCTAACAATTTATTGCACGTGATACAAGCAATGAAGGTTGCAAAGTGCCAGATAGAGGGACAAAACACATGCATTTCGAGGGGCGTACGTCTTTTAAATAATTGACACGCATAACGCTGAACAACAAACTCACTTTCAACAATACATTTACGAAGTTGCATATAACTTTCCCTGTACCCTCTGCGAGTGACATATTCATTTCGTTTGCTTGAATAGTTCGGTTGTTGAATTCCGCAGCGATGAAGTACATTGTCATTATCATCATCATCATCATCATCATCATAATCATCATCATCATCGTTATCGTCATCGTCATCATCATCATCATCAATTCATCATCATCGTCGCCGTCGTCGTCACCGTCATCGTCATCATCATTATCGTTGTCATAATCACCGTGACGATGACAATCCCCATCATCATAGTCGTCGTCGTCGCTGGCATGTGCCCGCATACGAGCATCCTAAACACGACCGTCGTCCTGAAAATCATCATCATCTCGATGGCGATGATGAAGGAACGAATCTCTCTCTCTCTCTCTCTCTCTCTCTCTCTCTCTCTCTCTCTCTCTCTCTCTCTCTCTCCTCCCCCGACTAACAGAAGTACGAAGAAAGTCATGCAAACCACGAACACTACCATTACCGACGTTGATGATGAACATGTGTACCATCTTCTATCGGCACAAGAACCGCCCGTAACTCAAAACCTCACCTCCCCGTGCAAATATGGCCTGCCAACCAACGGCGGATCAAGAATGCAACTCCAAAACGGGATCGGATCTAGGCGTTCTGCGTACATGCCAGCAAGGGTGGAGACGTAAAGAAGCACGATTTCCCCGAGCACATCAACAGGATGGCCGCCCCATTGATTGGAGATCATATCCCCGACCTTCGTCACATAGATCAGCACATGGCCGAGATTATTCCCGAAGAACCCAAAGCCCACGTCCATCTTCATAGTGGGAGCCCCGTCCACATCAACTTCGTAGAAAGGGATGGACTTACGTGTCACGCCATCCGCGAAATCGAACTCCCTGGTGTGGTACCCGTCCCGCTGGTGGCGCATCTCGTACACCATGGCGCCCTTGCCAGAGATGATACCGCGACAGAAAACACACGTCCATCTCTCTCTCTCTCTCTCTCTCTCTCTCTCTCTCTCTCTCTCTCTCTCTCTCTCTCTCTCTCTCTCTCTCGCCAGAGTCCTCCCCCTCTCCCTCTCGGCGAATGGAGCCGCCCGATTCGCTGGTCAGCACGTGGCGAAGCGCACACCCGAGCACACCCAACTTCAAAAACGATAGCAGGCCGATGAGGACAAACAATGCATAGGCACGGTATCTTGCACAAAGACTACGATCGCAGCCGATGCAGACACCTTTTTGTACGAGTTGAGGTGCGAACAGCCAAGCCGTTCCACTCGCTCCGTCGACGTTGTCACGTCAACACCGGAATTATTTGAACCTTTTTTTTTTTTCCCGTTTCTACATGATTCTGATTTGATGTATTTTTCCTTACATCATGGCCAGGGTTATGAAACTTTGCTCGGGAGGTAAACGAACTGCCGTCGATGTGTCCCCGCCGGTGGTGGTCGATCGAGAGGAGACACATGCATATACATGTATATGTATATACCTGTATATGCATGTGTCTCCTCTCGGCCGACCACCACCGGCGGGGACACGTCGACGGCCGTTAGTTTACCTCCCCAGGAAAGTATATACATATAAATATATATATTTATATATTTATATATATATATAATATATCGTCACAAATAGAACTACCCGGTAAATCGTAGGCAGAGAGAGAGAAGAGGACAACAAACGAGGGGTTGTGACAAACTGTTTCGTCGGAGTTTCACCGACTCATCAGGAGGCTGAACCCTAAACAGTCTGCAGTATCCCCTCACTGATTACACTGTAAATGATAATCTACCTTAACCAAAATCAAAGTAGACTATCACTCACCCACACCAGATGGAAAACTCTACAGACTGTCGGTTCACACCCCATCACAAG